TTTACCTGAAAAGAAAACTTTACATCGCATTTTTTTCACACTCTGCACTTGTTTTTGGTCCATTCATGTTCCTTCGATTTGTCGGGACATTCTGAGCAATAGGTAACTTTTTATGTGATGTTATGGTTTTGTCCTCTGTTTACTTCCAGTCCCAAAATGTTAAATAGTAATGAGTGAAATATCTTGGCGACTTTTGTTTATAATTTATTATAAAAGAGGTTATTTACTTTCTTATCACTTGATAAGCAAGAAAGGAAGTGGAAAATTTCTTGCTTGTAATGTATCCTTTTTCAGGAATAAATTGGAAAAAGTGGATGTGAGGTTCGCCGATTTTGATGGCGTCGTTTATCACATATCGAACCCTGATGGTGATCGTGCTGTAATTATGGTTTGTTTTTCGGTTTCCATCGAACTTTGAACATAGTTTTAAAATCCGGATGATCTCGAATTAAAGCTACATTTGGGTGCTGTCATGGTTGATGGCAGATATTAAATGTGTAATCAAATAACTTCCTTTTTCTAGTTATCTCCATGTATGTTGTATGAAATTCTCGTTTCCCCAAGTTTAAAATTGTCTTTTTTATTTCAGCTCAGCATATCACTAAAATTTTACAAAGAGCTGCAAGAACATGGAGCTGATGAAGTAAACTTCTTTTTCTATTTTTATAACTTTGCCTTTGGTCTTTCGGAAGTTTAAAATGTGTAATACTTTAAACATATTTTGAACGATTTTAGAATAGGGCATGAATAATGAGGATTTAGAAAGTTTCTAATTGAAGGACGTCATTTAAAATATTGTATGTTAAACATTTTAAACATATGTTCTTCTTTGTGAAAATGAGATGTTATCGTAATGTGTATCTGTTGTATTTTAGTTATTACGTCGTGAATATGGTAAATATCTGTGTGCAACGCCGGAATCAAGTTATAATGTTTCGCTAACATACAATCTGAACGAACTGCCAAATGATTACTCAACGATTGTTAGCCAAGCTTCGCATTTAAAACGAAATTGTTTTGCATCTGTTTTCGAAAAATATTTCAATTTCCAATCACAAGGTCAAACGGGAGCAAAAAGAGCTGTAATCCATTACCGTGATGACGAAACTTTGTAATTTTTTGAATACTTTCAAAATTCAAACCTCAGCTGTCATATTCCATTTCTCATCTAGTTTGAGATGTAATTTGAAATGAGAAATGTGATTTCAAACGACTGTACGATCCTTACTATGAATTGTGAATTGATTTGTGATATTTTCACTTGAGTATAAATTTTTCTTTCTAGCGAGCACTATAACAAAATTGAAAAAGTCAGTAATTTCAGATACGTAGAAACAAAAGTTGATCGAGTTACCGTTATATTTAGTACAGTTTTCCGTGATCCGGATGACGTAGTCATTGGAAAACTCTTTTTACAGGTTTGTTCTCGTCCGCGAATTGTGCTAAATTTTTCTAATCCTCATTTAAGGTGCATCGGTACACTCAAGCCAGTCTTTCAAGATAGTAATTCTTAGGTATTTGATGGTAATGAGGATTTTAAAAGAATAATTTTGCTGATGATCTGCTGTAAAAAAACTGAAATATCTGCGGAATGGTAAAAGAAATTTTCTGATGAACAACTTGCAGAAGGAAAACGGCGAAAAGTATCATGAATTTTAGTGTGTAGTCTTTTCATACTACAATACCAGCGAAATAATAAAGACATAGTCCAGGCACTCAATAATTTTTCTGAGTAAGTCTCGAAAATAAAATGGGAAAATCCTTCTTTGCAGGAATTCCGAGAAGGACGGAAAGCATCGCAGACATCACCTGCAGTACTTTATACAGTAGGCGAGCCACCACTTGAATTACGCGACTGTCCCGATGCGCGTATTGGTGATAATGTTGGCTACATCACCTTCGGTAATTCAAACAATACACATTAGCCTTCTAACTCATTTTGGAATATTTATACTTATAAAGACATGTACGATCAAAATTAAGTGATTTTTATTGGTTACTGAAAGAGTGGCAAAGCGAATAAAGAGAACGGATGCATCATGTCTATTGATTCTTGCATTGCTATGTCAGCTGTTCAGTTTTTATTACTCAACTGGATATGATGTTAACCGTATGTAACTTTTAGTGTTGTTTCCACGGCACACGAATGTACAAGCACGTGACAATACAATCAATTTGATACATACATTTCGTGATTATCTTCACTATCACATAAAATGTTCGAAGGTTAGTAAATGAACAAAGGAATCAAATTTAAAGATTGATTTCTTTGGCGGAATAGATTATCTCAATATTTCGTTGGGATTTTCCCAAGAGTTCACCTTCTGTAACCTTGGATAACTGTGCGGTAGTATTTAGGACCATGGGAAATGAACTTTTGGAAATGTTTGTAAAAAGAACTCTTTCGGGTGGTTTTTGATGCGTAGAGCTTGATCGTCAATTTTATTTCAGTACATTCAGATCACAGAATGTGTGCGTTTATATCCATACAAATGGCATAAGGTGTTAACCGAGCTTTCCCAAAAAAACTGAAACTTATAAAGTTGGAGTAAAGATATGTTTTTGTTTCAGGCATATATGCATTCAAGAATGCGGGCGAGGACGAATGACTTCCTGAAAATTTTGAACCGAGCACGACCAGAAGGACGTGTAGAGAAGAAAACATTTTCGTACGTATTTGATTTCTTATTTTTCTGAAGTTGATATCAATGAGAAAGCATGGGATAGACATCGTTGGAAAAAATATGAGCTGCATTGGTAGACAAGCAGTTCAAGCCAGGAACAATATTTGGCATGAAAAGTTTGGATACTGATGTTGTTATTTATTTAGGTCATAAATTTTTGAATGGAATATATTTCAGATCTCAACTCAAAAAGAAAAATATTTCAGAGGACGCAGCTTTCAGCCAGTATAGAAGAGGGGACGATGTGCTAAAATGACACTACATTTTGAAAATGTATATATTGCTATTTCGATGTGATTGTAAAATTTTTTAGTTCCTTTAATAACAACACACGACGTTGTGGAAGATGGAAAAAGCATCATGACAATAATGTCCCGGGAGTTCTTTACTTTTGATAAATTTAATTAACCTTTAAAACCTTTTATCCTTATTGTTCTTTTCGGGTAACAACGTTGCAAATGTTAGGAGTAACCAACTTTCCTTATTAAAGCAGTAAGTGCGAACTTTGTAAAGCATAGCGGAAGTGAAGTGTCTTTATTTAATTAAAGTTTATAAATCGCAATTCTATTTTTAAACAGTACAGAATAAGAAAGACAGTTATGTGGAATAGAACCTTTTCTAGCACATTCAAGACATTTCCAAGAATAGCTAATATCCCAGGATAGCGCAAATTTAGTGTTGTCGAACTGCCATTGTAATGTACATCAAGCGAAAATGAGTGGTCACATCCTTCTTCAAGTAATTTCTAACGAGAAATCTACTTACAGTATCTTCAAAGAAAGATTTGAAATTGCTATTCCAGAAAGAGAATGAAATAGCAAATATACCATGTCTTTAGCTTCTTAACTTTAATTGCGGTAAATGTTAAATACTCTTAAAATTTGTCCTGTTTGGAGAAATATCCCAAAGTCTGACCTATTTCGGCAAATACTCCTGAAATCTGTTCTATTTCGGTAAGTGCTAAATATTACTAAAACCTGCCCTCTCCCACAAGATATATTACTTGTACGTGTAATACGTGATGTAACAAGAACGTTACTTTGTAAATGCAAGCAAGTACGTTGTCACCATCACGTACGCTACACGCTTGCTGGACTCGACATCAGCCGCTCACCGCCGGTTTGTACAGGCATGTATGTGTTCATGCACATGTGTGTGTATGTGTATGTGCGTGCACATCTATATATGTCTGTCTGTTTGTCTGTCTGCTTGTGCACGTATCATTGGGATGCCGCTATCGTGGGATGCCGCTATGGGGAGTGCGTTGCTAGGCAACTTGCATTTTGATTGGTTCTCATTTCACACAGACATCTGTTTGTTAGCGCCTTAACCCGACACAAAGACATATGAGATTAGTTGGAGTTTTGCCGTGGGTGAGGTTTGTATGTGTGTGTGTGTGTGTATGTGTGTATGTATGTATGTATGTATGTATGTGTGTGTGTATGTGTGTGTCTGTCTGTCTGTCTGCTAATTAGTTGACTAATTACCATTTAAATATCTCAAGTACTAGCATTTCAGCTTATCCACGTTATATGATAGTCGTCAACCGTTTGATCTCTGTCGGTTGCAGTGACGTTTGTCTTGATCACCTTTGCATACGGTTTTAGTTATTTAGCGTACTTTAGATATAGCTCTTTTAAATATTGTTATCAAATATCATTCGTTTCTAACCTGCAACCATTTTATGCTAATCTGACCTGAAACCGTTTCATGTATGACCTGAAATCATTTCATCCATTTAATACAGTGCATCCTGAGAAGGTAAGGGAAAGTAGTGAATGAAGAATTATGCGTATTCTATTTTTCCATTGCTGTTCAGCTAATTGCAGTGATACTGTAATGAGTGTCTCTTGTACAGCACTCTCATTTCATGTGCAGTACATATCAATCACCTTTTCTGCAGTTTTAGACAGAGTGATATAATTCTTATGGGTAGAATCAGTTGACTGGGCATAGACGTTTACCCGCCCATACAGCTTTCAATTCCCAAAAATGCATCATTCAATGAGACGACCATTTGAAGGGTCAGAAGTTAGCGAGCGATTATGGCATGTTTCGGGCGGGAAGGCGGGAAAACTCTTTTTATCATTTTTAATTTTTTACAAGTTCTAAAATGTACGAATAAGTAAGAATATTAGTGCGGTGAATCCTGGAAAGAATTGAAATGTGTAGGATGGTACCATACTATATGAAAAGCAGAAATACTTGATTTTGGAACTTATCTCGGTTTCTTTTGCTTCTATTCCATACTGACGCATTCTTAACTCGAGTTATTGCAGTGTATAGTTGTTGAAATCTCACACCAGTTTTCCATTTCGAATTTTCAGGCCTCCGTAATTTATTTTGCGGCAAGTTTGAACAGATAATTTTGGTGGTGCAGAACATAACAAGAGGAAATGACCGACAGGAAGGCAGTGATCAAAAATGCTGATATGTCAGAAGACATGCAGCAAGATGCTATCGATTGTGCAACACAGGCTTTAGAGAAGTTTGTTCATTTTGTTTCTTAGTCTTCTGCGATACGTTTGAAAAGTGATGGATCAGATTTGATGACCAAATCATTTCTAAGATGTGGATCAAGGGTTGAAATTCTGAGTGGGAAAGATTTGATTGGAAGCCTTATAGCGGTTTAGATTTAATGCACTTTGATCTTTGCGCTTCCCATCATGGAAAACCTTTCGAGGATAAACATTTTGAAATGTTTATCTTTTTGGTATGGGTGCTGCACCTTTTCTATGGCGCAAAAAACACTTCTCAGTTATTTATCCCTCTTTTAATGCTTTTCTAATGCTTTCTAATGCTCTTCTCCTTGTCATGGTATGAATCAGGCGATGGATTATTCCTTAACGTACATTGGGATATTGGAATTTGACATAAAACACGAAACGTTAAAATAATTTTCACGAAGCACTGGTTGTTGATGTTGTTGGATGTGTGTACAAAGTACGAAGTACCGCTCTAAAGAGTTTTTTTTCTAACTCTTTATTATATTATGTATCGGTTTCATATCTTTCATCGTTTAGTGGTCTTTTTAGGTACAATATCGAGAAGGATATAGCTGCATATATAAAGAAAGAATTTGACAAGAAGTACAACCCGACATGGCACTGTATTGTTGGGCGAAATTTCGGGTCATACGTTACACACGAAACAAAGCACTTCATCTACTTTTATTTGGGCCAAGTAGCAATACTTTTGTTTAAGAGTGGCTAATTTTCTTTTTGGTCTATTTCTCCTTTTTCTCATTCTTCCAAATGTTACAATTTTGCATTATTTAAACTAGTTTCCATTTGTTCTTATGTACATTACTGATATTATTAATAACGGCGACAATGAAATGGATCAAAATACATCGTTTTCATGAATTTTTTTAAAGAAATGTGGAAGTTGTATGGCGAGTCTCTTTCCGAATCTGGAGTATTTAGCAGAAATTTTCCGGACATTTTCTCTCTACATTTCTTGTATTTTGAATCATTAAAAAAGGGGAAAATAATTGCAGAAATTCACGCTGAATATTTAGAATTTTAGTGCCTTAATTTGGATACATACGAGCAGACACGCATATATGCACACACACACACACAAGAAAGAATCTCGTTACATGTGATTTTTCTATGATTTTTTTCCAATCGCATTAGTCGATAAAATACCATTTGAGTATTTTCCGCTATACAGGAATATACAAAGCAGGATTTCTAGTTTCCTATTTGCAAAATGTACAGATAATGCGATAGATTATTACAGCATTTTCTGATGTGGATGTAGTGAAATCCGAGTAATGCAAAGAATATTAGTGGGGTTTTCAGATTCCGTATTTATTAAACGCATTTTCTGGGATAATTTGATCATATGTAAAGTATTCTAGAAGATGCCAGGTTGAATGTTTTTCGTCATCCGTTTCTTTTCCCTACAATGGTGCTAAAACCTTTTTTCGCCTCATCCCACAGTTTTCCAGATTTCAATGGAATAATATCTGAAGAACTCGGGGTGCTAGCAAACTCTGTTATCGCGAGCCAGTGCATTGGTTCCAACACACTACCGGCTATTAAATTGCAGTGATAAATTACAGAATGCAAACATATGCTTGTACTTGATGCATCCAGAAAAAAAAAGTTTTCAATGTGGACATTGCGTCATGTTCAGACATACGCGAAATTCGTTTTTCTCGAGAAATTCTAAACGAGTAACCGAACTACTTTTCCATGTTCAACAATATAATGATGGCAAAAGAAGTAATGCATCTTTCACATTGGAAGGGATCAATGTAGGACCAAAAATGAACTTTTCTACCGATTAAATTCCTTTCTGCGGGAGTAATTGTTACAGGAAACTAACTGAAAACATTTGTGTCGAAATATTCCTATCCTATAGTTGATTGATTTATCAAATCTCGCATTATACAGAATTACAGTTTTTGAAAAATAAGGAAGTCCTTGTCGATAATTTATCAAGTAGCAAGATGATATACAACGTTGCAGGATTTATCTAATTCTCAGACGGATTTCCCTCATAATTCTCATCAGTTCCATATAATGCCATAGCCATCGTTGTTTTTCATTAGAGGATTTAAGTTCCATGATAACTACGAAAACGAACTAATCCAATATAACTTGTCAGCTTTTATTTGAAATTGGAAGTATTTTGTTGGGAACGTTAAATTTTATATTCATAAGGAATTTGTTAGTTTGATGCTTAAGAACTATGGTTATTGATTATTATTGACTATAATTATTGATATTAGTGATTATTGATAAAACAATAATAATATCTCTTAGTTATTTTTCCGTTACTTATTTTAAGCGTCGACATTAAATGTAAGAAATTCGTTAGTTTCGGCGCTTAAGAACTATGTACCAATGTATGATTACCGATTTGAATCAAATGGTTGTTCAAGAAGTTGATCAACTACAGCAGCAATTAGTTGCCGAGTATTAGACTGATCGATGTCAACGATTTCTTCAAAAACAAGATCCATTATCAAACGAAAACGAACCAGACAATTAGCACTTATTCGATACACTAAACTGTGATAAAATGCTATATATACTTGATATTTTTATTCTGGAGTTATCATTCATTTCTTTCACCTGTTTCTTCGACTTTCACTTTTCTTTTATAAATTTGAGTTTTTCAAAAATAATATAGTCCTCGAAACCTTAGACTTTGGAATTTCTATATCTGAAATGAGATGTTATGCTCATAAATAGGCGGACTTCTACATTTAAATGAAATTATATTTCGGAATGTTACATGAATAAAAGTATAAAAATTAGTATTGTATGAATAACAAACAAAATCATGCCATATGTAAATAAAAGTTGATATTGCATGAATAACAGAAAAAGTCATTCAATAAGTGATTGATGAGAAGGTCACGTAATACGTGAATAATGAGAACGTGAATGAAGAGAAAGTCGTTTAATGTATGAGTTCCTACGTATTACATAACTTTCTTGTCATTTACATATTGAATGGTTTTCTCATATACGTTATTAATGACATACTCATAAGAAAGATGACAGGTATACGAATAAGAAAAACATTGCTGCAATTATTATGTAATACTTTAGGATTTCGTGAATCAAATGGATGTCAGCATGCTCACATATATGCATATAGGAACGAAGGCTGACGTGTACAATTACGTAAATACGTACAAGTTAGCTGAGACATTCATATGTACACCCACACACAGACACACACATACACAGACACACACATACACATACAAAAGTACAAACACACATACACAGACACGCACACACGCGCGAAATCACAGCTTTCATAAAAATGATACAGAGCTGGTATAATTTCGCGCGTCTCGAATGGATCCTGTTTGTTTGGCAAGTTGACAAATGTTTGTCATTCTGATCACTTTTGGGTTGTAATTTTTGGTTTGTGAATTGTAATTTCGCTCTTGCAGGTAAGGCTCTCGTTTTAGGTCACTTTGATGAAATATTTTAGGTTGATGAGGAAGTAGTCGGTTAACAATCCACTCATCACAACAGCTATCATTGATAGTACCTTTTAGGCATGGCCTGAATATACGGTAGTCGCATAACGCGTCATTTACTGTAACTTATTGATCCGTTAGTTAGGATGTTCACAGGATGTTTCTCTGCATCTATTGGATACTGTTTTAGTTAAATCAAAAAATTTCGTGACTTTTGCTCTGAAATCTTAGATGATTTGATCTTGGTTGATACACATATATATTCATATATCAAATGCTGCCCTTATCTCCTGTTCCTCCCCCACTTCTTTCCGTTATACCGTTTTGCTTCATAGTTGAAGATTAAATCAAGCAATAAAGTTACCAAAAGACATCGATATATGTAAATGTCACCGCAATACTGAAATACTACGCAATACGAAATGCCAGAACAGTTTAATTGATATATGCATGATGAATGTTATGTTGTTTCCAACAGGTCTGTAGCATTTTTGTTAGGCTTTTAATAGTAATAGGAGGGATAATTACATTTGAAATTTAGGATTCAGTTTTATTAGATAAAAATTTCTAATTTTGTACAATTTTCTCCAGCAGCGTTTCGCACGTATTCAGGTTTGTTTGCATATTACCTACAAGCATTCGGCTGACGCAAATTGAAATGACGAATAGTACGACAGCAACGGCAATGCATCCATTAGTCCAGTGGGCTCAACGTGATAAACTACTTTATTTGACTGTTGAGATTGATAATGTGGCCGATCTCCAAATCACCGAAAAGTCTCTTCACGTTAAGTAAGGTTTTTGTCCAATTGACTATTAAATAATCGATATTGGTTCGGTGTGATTTGTGTTTAGTTTACAGATGTCAAGCGCTTCATTATATCGTGAAGCTGTGGTTTAGTGTCAGGGCTTACTGCATACATAGTGCATGCATGTCAGTACTTATTACATATATGCTTGACAAGCGTCATTCTGTATGAAAATTTCAGAGAGGATGTTTGCCATAAAAATATTGCTTTCGTTTAATATAGTCACGTCTACTCTAGTTATATTTATTACTTCATGTGTGATTGCTTTACTTGTATTAAAGGGGCACATATGGTGGTAACAAGACTCTTTATGAAGCAAATTTGGATTTTTATGCGGGAGTAAAGACAGATTACCGTAAAATTGCTAACGGCAGACATTTGGAATTGGTTATCAACAAGGAAACACCGTGTTGGTGGCCACGATTAGCTAAGAGTAGTGCTAAGGTTTGCTTCTTTTTTTTTCTTTTTTTGTTAGTGTACCTTGCATTCCTGTAGAAACGCAAACAATGTTTTAGTCAGAACTTCGGTTTAAAAGAATTTCGGTTTAAAAGAACCTGAAAAAGAATTTCATTTGAGGAAGAAAACAAGGAATGAAATGAAATTAAACGAGGATGACAATACTCCTTTGTCACTCCCTTTCGTCATATGTATTCAAATCCCATATTGATCTGAAATTTCGCGATAATTAAGCATGTAATGATTATTTCTAAGTTCGGCTATATTTTTCTTCCCTTTTTACAGCTTCCATGGGTGAAGGTTGATTTTAACAAATGGAAGGATGAAGACGAGGATGAGGATGATATGAATAGTGGTGATCTCGATTTCCAAAATTATATGTCTAAGTTGGATGCAGGTGGTGCTGGTGCACCAAATTTGGATGATTTTGACGATGATGATGATAAAGATGAGGATGATGACGGTATGCTTCATTTCCTTTAACCCCAAATTGCTTCATAGCATCAACTGGTAGTTTATTTCGAAAGTGGGTTCTTTTGGTTGATCTTATTTAAGAATTTTTTTCCAGAAAACTTTGGGCTTTTTAATGTAATTTCTCTAGTATAGGTGTAAGAAATAGGAGGTTAACGTATTTTTGACCGTGTTCACGTCGGCCTTCCTTTTGTTATATGTATACAAATGTAATTATTTCTAAAGAAAAAAACTATTGATTGGCTGCATTTCTCTTCCCTTCAACACGGTGAAGAAGCGGAGAAGGAAGTTTTTAATCTTTACAAATTCTAATTTTTCTAATGCATTTTACAGATATGCCAGATCTAGAAGATGTTGATGACGAAGCAAAAGCAGGAGCTGCAGCAGAGGAAGAAGAAAAGAAAGATAAGGTTGAAGCTGGTGATAAGGAAAAAGGGGTTATAGAACAGTCCTAAATTGCTTTTCATCACCCGTTCCCTTTTTATTTTTTTCGCAGTGTTCCACATAATCTTGAATGGTATACCACATTTCTTTCTCATTTTATGCTAATTTTCACTGATCGACATCAAAAGTTTTGTGACGAATTGTATATGCTTGTTCTCGTTTCCCGGCGCAGAAATGAGGTCAGTATTGGCTACTGTTGGTAAAGTCGTCAGTTATGTTAACGCTCAGGCATTGTTGACCGCAATTATATAAGGGAATGCTTTGAGACGGCGAAAAATAGATTTTTGGTTAAAAATTTAATCTTTATAATGGCATTTATCACTGAGTAGAAGATGGAGGAATGAGATCTCTAAATGGTTTTTTCTTCAGTTGTTTTCTCAGTTCAGTTGATCATTTAGTTGGTTAAGGTGATTTTAATTTAAGTTGCCATTAAACAGGCATACAATATTTTTTGGAATTTTTAATCTGCTCTTAGGCAAACTGTTTGTTTTGGCCATCTTAATTCAGCCTAATGTTTTAAAATGGATTCATTCTTTATTTTTAGCAGTTGATGGACTTGATGTTCTTTTTTTGTCTTAATGTGAAATATCGGTTCCTTCAATTACTTATTATTACCATATTAATGAAGGAAATACTTTTTATCATTTTCTTCCTTTTTTTAATTTTGTTGGAAATAAAGTGTTATTTGTTGCGAAGCATCATCCATTTTAGTTGAAAGTAAATGCGTAATATAAATACATCATAAAGTATTTGTATTAAACGAGTTTTCAGGCTTTTTTTTCTTCGTTTGTTAGAATATTTTAGATTTGTTAGAAATACCCATTGAACTGTCGATTTCTCCATTCTTTTCCTCTTTACCGCCATTTTTACCTCATTCTTCTGTCCACTCTTTAGCTCTGAGTCCATTATTTCAGTCCTGAGTCTAATATTCCCTCCACCAAATGTTTCGATTAGTTTTCAGGTCATTAGAATGAAGCTAAGTTCCACACAGCATGAGAAATTAGTGGATGGTTGCATTTTCCATCGGGGGAGTGCAAAGAACTTGCGAGTGTCGGGAAAGGGGAAGGTTGAGGACGAAGTTTTGGAAGAAAAATACCATAAACGGGGGAGTTGTGTGGTAAGGTAAATCAGTCTATTAGGTCGTTTCTTTTTTAGTTAGGCTTCTTAGTTTAAGCTTTTCTTAGTGGTTTCTTGTTTTCAGAAAACAGGGATCTATTGAGTTTTGCAGATTAACCTTACCTTTGTTGAATGATTTACATCGAACGGAGCTTACACTTATAAAAAAAACATAGGACTTATGTATGGGCACAGAAAAAAAAATCCTCAAATGTATTTTAAAACATTTGAACTTTATACTAATAGACAAGCAATGACAGCGATATTCTTTTTTTTTTTTTTTTTCGTCCTTTGCCAACACTTGGAGATTATCTGTTCAGATCGACAGGATATCAAAGAAATGAAAAATCTTGTTGTTTTTTTGAATGTTTTCGTTTTTTTTTGGTTTCTATAAAAAAAGACGAAAAAGGAAAACATGCCTTGGAGGTAGTACTTTTAGCTTTCATTATTATTTATCACTGCCGGAAAGAAGAAAGCTTAAGGTACAAACATTCATTAATAATGATGGAAAGTTAGTTGAATGGTTCATATTGAGAGTTTACACTCTTCTTCTCTCTCATGTTGATTCTATTTTTATGAATAGCTGTAATCTAATATTCAACTTATCATTATTAGTAGATTTATTCCTGTGCATCAGCATTTTCATTCGATATTTCCCCTTCAAATTTTTGTGATCGCGAAGCTTGGGAAATGGGGTAATTAAGACTGAGGCAGTAGCTTCATAAATTAACAGTTATCGATTATTCAGGATTTCATTATATTGTTATCCACTATACGCGGGAATCAGTTGGTATGATTTATGCTGATAATCATAAAAGTTTTTCGGTATGATTTATGCTGATAATTATAAAAGAGTTCATACATGAGATATTATGGCATCCTTATTTTGACTATTTAAAAAATAGTATACGATTGTTTCGAAGTACGAAGTATATAAGTATATATAATGGGTCACTGTATTAAACTGTACTAGGATGAAGATGATGGCCATTGATAATCAGTAGCAGTTCATTTATTTCTAATTACTTTGCAAAGGGAAAAAAATGCCTTGACAGGTTTCTTCATTTTTTTTTTCTCGTAGTATTTTCATTTCTTTTTTTTTACCTTCACTTTTTGCTCTCCATTTTTTTCGGTAAAGATGTTGAATGTATTAATATGAAGTATTTAGAAAATCATTTCAAGAGTGCTATATCATTGTAATTAACAAAATGCTTACATTAAATTTACTACTTTATTTGGTATATTCTGGGGTCCAGAAATTGATAAGAACGATGAATGACATAGGCAAGGTAATGAGGTGGAGGAAAATTTTTAATGGTCAGTTCGTTGTATTTTGGAGCTTCGTTGTTTGTTGCTGTTGTTGTTGTTATTATTGTTTGTTTGTTTGTTCGTTTGTTCATTGTTGTTGTTGTTTGTTTATTTGTTTGCTTATTGTTTGTTTCTTGTTGTTTGTTTGTTGTTATTTATTTGTTTGTTTACTATTGTTTGTTTGTTGTTTGCTCGTTTGTTATTGTTCTTATTTATTTGCTTGTCCGTTTGTCGTCGTTTGTTTGCTGTTGTTTGTTTGTTGCTTGTTTATTTACTGTTGTTTGTTGTTTGTTCGTTTGCTATTGTTTGTCTGTTGTTTGTTTGCTCGTTGTTTTTGTTTGTTGATTTGTTGTTTGTTTGCTGCTATCTGTTTGTTGTTGTTTGTTTGTTTGTTTGTTTGTTGTTGTTTGTCGTTTATCTGCTATTATTCGTTTGTTGTTTGCTTGTTGTTTGTTTGTTGTTGCTTGTTGTTTTATTTGTTGTTGCTTGTTTGTTGTATGTTTATTTGTTTGCTGTTGTTGCGGTTGTTATCATTTATTTGTTTATTTGTTGCTCGTTTGTTTATTGTTTGTTTACTGTTGTTTGTTTGTTGTTTGTTCATTTGTTT